CACACCTCTCATTTGCCTTTTTATCTTCTTAAGGCATTTGTATCTTCTCTCTTTAGTATTATTTCACTTGTAATTTTGGAGTGGAATAAAATATTGATTGTGTCCGAGGAAGTAGGCAAAATTGGCCGAACCTCGTAAATTCTGGTGTTCTTTTATTGTTGTCTCATTGTCTTATTTATTATTTAGTGGTTGTCATAATTTTTGGTATAGTAGTTGTGACTCGTTCACACTATATACATTTGGCTTCCGCAACAGTATGATTCGTACTCGTTTGCTTATAGTGCCTATTCTGTGCTATATTATGCAGAGTAATGAATGGTCCTATTTTGTCGATTGCAAAAGAGCTTGGGTTTGAGGGGAATTCATTTCTTGAAGGACTTGTGGTGAGCATATTTATTGGTGGGGCATTCATAGGAAGCATAGCCTCTGGTTCCCTTGTTGATAAACTTGGTTATCGACGCACATTTCAAATTGACACAGTACCTCTTATTCTTGGGGCAATTGTAAGGTAATCCATTTATGATCATGCATATTGGTATTTGCTGCTTGGCTATATTTGCTATCTTTATTTTTTCTCCTCTTACCCCAAGAGAATTATGCAGTTCTATGTATGAAATTGTTCCTATAATTTAGGCTAATTTTGGACGTTGATTCATATGCCATTTGAGAATAAATATTTACATGTATAAATAGTTTAGGAAGTACATAAGCAAAACATTTCAGATTTAAGATCATAAGAAGGTTTACGCTCTTATTCTCAATCTATATTTTCTCTTCTTGATTGAGGTAAGAGTAGAAAGTTCATTGTAATTTAATAGACGCTGGTCTTAGAATTGAGATAAAGTAACTTATCTTTTATAAAAGCTTATCTCAAAAATTGAGATAAAGTTATGCTTTTCAAGAATTTATCCTCTTAAATAAAAGTAGTACTCCGATGTCACATTTTCTCTAGCAATTGAGTGGAAACATATTAGAAAATATAGACAAAATGGATCCCTTTTTATGAACGTCCGCATAGTTTCGAGATAAACTGATCTCGTGTGAAATGGAACTGTTAGGTAGTAAGATTTTTCGTACTTTATTTTATAACTGAGAAATCCTCAAGGGCCAGTGGCACTCGGTTGGAAATTTGGTGGATAATGAGCCCCCCATCCACCTTTCTCATAAAGATTTTTCATTACTTAAGATGGTGGGACAGTTGCAAATTGGATTATATTCTCATTCACTTGTTAAATCTTCTGGCTTCTTGTCTATGCCTAACAACTGGAAAGAGGAGAAGAATAATTTGCTTGTGCTTCAGTAATTTCCAATTTTGATGTGTGATGTCCTTCAATTGACAGTGCACAAGCTCATTCCATTGAAGAAATGCTCTTGGGAAGATTCCTTGTTGGCCTTGGTATTGGTGTTAATACAGTATTAGTTCCAATTTATATTTCTGAGGTATGCCTCTTAACTTATAATTTCCTTATCTAAGTCCGCATTCTGAAAGTTTTACAAAAAAGTCATGCTTTAGAATCCATCCTAACTTTTGTTTGTGCTGTTCATTTCTGGGGTGCATGGAGAGGTAAGTCTGATTGAAAAAGATACTAGGGGGAAAATCTGAATAAACTACTTAGTCGTGTGGTTTGGCTACTTTTATCCTCCCAGATTGGAAAACTTGTGTTTGTGTTGATCCAAGGATGAGATTTATTTATCTATGATTCATAATTTAGCCTTTTGGGGAAAAAGAAGAAGAAAACAGGAAAATTTCTAGAAGGAACATATTGAACTTTAGACATCCTCATAAGACACGCTAAAAGATCTTGAAAGACAGCTGCAGCCGAGAGATGATAATTTTGGTTTGCAAGTTTTGTGCTGACTGCCCTTGAATTTTTTTGGTGAGTGATGTTTTTTCCGTTCTTGTTTTTTGAGAGTGATGAGCTATCTTTTACTAAGGAGGGAAAGGCTTCTTGAGAATGATCCTTTGGTTTTGGGATATTCTTTTGCTTGACAATACATATATATTCGATCAATCAGATATCTGTAGGGATGCAGAGATACTTTGAAGAGAGATTTTATTTCTCTTATAATCTTAAATGCTTGTATTGTAGGTCGCTCCAACGAAATATAGGGGCTCCCTGGGGTCATTATGTCAAATTGGTACATGTGTTGGTATCATTGCATCACTTTGTCAGGCAATTCCCTCAGAAAATGATCCGCACTGGTGAGTACTTGTAGTTATCTTTTTCTATTCCACTACCTTCCACCGCAGTCAGTGTACCAAACTTTGTTGAAACGCTTTGTTGAAACGATTTAAATTGATTATGTTGCCATGTTGCAAGAACTCCTAAATTTCAAGTGTGATGGTAATCCGTATCTTTACCAGAATCTAGATCCAGCTTTAATGTTGAATTTAAGACTTTATAAAATAATTGTAATCCTTGAGGGCCGTTCTTTGCCTTTCTGCTTTTGAAGTTTAATTTATTACTTTAGATTCCAACTTCTAATCATCCTAGCTTATGTTATGCGGGGACAATAAGAACCTGTTCTGTTGTCTGGCAATGAACTAGTTGATACTCCTCCCCTCTTTCATTTTATGTTCTGATGCTTTTATGGGTCATTTGGTTTGAGATAAGAAAAATTAATCCTGGTATAAAGCTCTGCATAACTTATGGAGCATTTGATTTCCAATATAAAAACCATGTAAAGGTAACACAATCTCCGCATAACTAATTCAACGTTTGGTTCCCGGTATGAAACTCTACATAAGTTACTAATATTAGCATAACTTATGCTCGAATCTATGTTACTATAAGGGATAGAATGTGGAGCACGAATACATGTATTATCAATTTAGCAATATGTCGTTTAGAGAATCTAAAGACAAAACTGCACTTAAAAGTAGGCAATCCCCAGAAAGTCCGTGTATTATTAGTAGTCTCCTTTTAACAATCAATACATTGTTATTTACCTACATAACAATTCTTACCTTATAGTCCTTGCATAACTAGACCGCGAACCAAGCAACCCTTAGTTTCTTGTTTTTAATGGTTGCTTACCAGAAGTAGGCAAGATATGATGCAACAAGCTTTGACTGTTGATACTTTAATGCAACCATTGGCAGGTGGAGGACAATGCTCTATATTGCAAGTGTTCCAGGATTTATTCTTGCTCTTGGTATGCAATTTTCTGTTGAGAGCCCCCGCTGGCTATGTAAGGTAGCAATTTTTATTCGTTGCATGTTTGCATTAACTCCTGTTGCTGTGACTGCCACTAATCTTGCCATGGGAGATATATGCAGGCTGGGAGACTCGATGAGGCAAAAGAAGTCATCAGAAACATATGGGGTTCATCAGAAGTAGATAAAGCTATCGAAGAGTTTGGATCCGTCATAAAAAATGATGGCAGTGACTTGGACAGCAGTTGGCTGGAACTCCTAGAGGAACCACACTCTAGAGGTTGTATGAAGGTGGTTTTTTTGTTAATGCATGATCCATTATTAGGTTTAAGGTGGTTGCTTAGGTTTCGTATATAAATTAACATCACTATGCTAATTTGATCCATTCCGGTGCTTAAAATCTCCTTACATTGCAACCATTTTCTCTCTTTGTTTGATTAAAATGTTTAAGATTGACTTTGATGATTGTCTCTTAGCTTCTTACAACTGCGGTGGTTTGATGGGAATATCATGAGAATATGCTTGAAAAGTAAAGCTGCATTGTACCAGGACAGAATTATGATTTTCTGCTAGTATATATGTGGAGCTTTGCGGGATTTCTCTTTGTATGAGTTGGTCGGCAAAATTTAACAGCTGCCTCCACTTTTGAAGTTGAACATTGTTAAAGATGACTTTTGGCATTTAAGTGGACTATCATCTTCCCAACTCAATGGAAGTTATAATCTCCTCCTTTGATTTTTTTTCCAAGGACTAAATGTTAAAAAAAAATTGTTACTCTTTTACTTGTTTGGTGGAAGGCCTATTAGTTAATATCTTGATCTGTTGTCTTAAGATTTAATGGCATGCTGGATACTCACACGTCTTGGTGTAATATGTGCCATAATCTGCTGATAGTATGCATGTTGTGGGAGCATGCGCTTCACACAAATGTCAATCCTCCAAATTAGGCTTCAACTTTATTCTTTTTTTTGCAGTTGCTACCATTGGAGGTGCCTTGTTTGTACTTCAACAGTTCGCTGGTATAAATGGAGTTCTCTACTTCTCATCCTTGACTTTCAAAGATGTTGGAATCTCAAGCAATGCTTTAGCAAGCTTATATGTAGGACTAACCAACTTTGCAGGTATTTAATGGGTCTAAAGGACTTGAGACGCACTTTGCATCACCTGCTAAATTTCACTTGGTTCCAAGATAATGTTTAGTTATCACTGTGTGCTTCTTGCAGGTGCACTATGTGCTTTATACTTGATGGATAAGCAGGGGAGGCAGAGGCTTCTAGTAGGAAGCTACGCTGGAATGGTGAGGAAAAAATATTTCTCTCCTTACGTAAAAGTTTTCTTTTGGGTGAAGAAGGAATGGGGTGAATAACATAAATGTTCATTGCTATTGTTATGTCTTAAACCTATATCCATCAAGTGTTTTTAAGAATAATATTTAAGGGACTTGGAATTTATCTTACTTGTCCTCATGTTTTGAGCCGCTCGGTATGCTCAGACGTCTTGTCTTTTAAGGATTATAGACTTCAAAACCTTGCTATGCGTGGGGGAAGTAGCTAGGTGACTGAAAGATAAGTCCCCCGTGGCATGATTCTGGTTCCTAATCCCCTCCCCCCAACCCCAAATCCCCTCCCTTCTGGCACAATAACAGAGAAAAGGAAAATAAATATAAAATGCTTGGAGGTCATTTTCCAAATAGTCAACTCACTTCCATTGGATCTGTCTTTTGCAGGCTTTATCAATGTTTCTTATTGTCTGTGCTATCAGCTTTCCATTGGAAGGTGAAATAAGCAACAACTTATCAATACTCGGAACAATCTTGTATGCATCCATCTTTACCTTTTCATAAAAATTAAAATAATAAAAAAAAGAAGCAATCTTGTATGCGTCCATACAAAATATGCTCTGAAAATTCTACTTGAATTTCCCTGTGCTCTCTCTCTCTCTCTCTTTACCATTTCACTCTGGTATAGGTATATATTCACCTTTGCTGTTGGAGCTGGGCCAGTAACTGGTCTTATAATACCAGAGCTTAGCAGCAGCAGGATGCGAGGGAAGATAATGGGCTTTAGTTTCTCCGTTCATTGGGTATGTAGCGAGATCATGTGTGTCGTTTCTGCGCTTCAAACCGATTAGCTGCAACCTATTAAGTTGATTGCATGAACTTTCTCGCAGTGGAAATTTTTACCTTTTTCCCGCATCTGCTCCTGCCAATGGGAGTTGAACACTAAGAAGGGCATTTCCCAGATACCCTTTTTTTTTGTTTTGAGCTTTCTATGGCCATTCACAATTTGTCGCTTTCCTTCTGTGTAGCCTCTTATCTCAGCAGCAATTGTCCCTCGGTGAAAGATGTTTATACTGATTTGGACTTGTTGATGGTGATTGAACAGGTCTGCAACTTCTTGGTAGGTTTGTTTTTTCTGGAACTCGTTGAGAAATTTGGTGTTGCTCCAGTTTATGGAAGCTTCGGTGCTTTTTCTTTGATGGCAGCAGCATTTGCTTACTATTTTATAGTTGAGACTAAAGGCCGATCTCTTGAAGAGATTGAGATGTCACTAAATCCCAATTTTCAGGGCAAACGTAATTCGGAATAATCTCATCTCATGCTGAAGAAAGATTGGAGATTGTGGACAAATTGTAGGTGCCTGTAGTGATCATCAAGTCGCAAGAGAGTGCATTTCCGGTCATGATATTTTGACCATCCTGACACTTTGATTGGTCTCTGGAGCTCAAATTCAAGCTACATTATTTCTAACACAATTATGTGCTCGATTTTATCTCATAAACAACGTTGTAAATGATGTTGTTATATTATTCTTTTGTTAGTTTCTTTTGCAAACTGAGATTTTTCTTCGAAGGGTCTTTGTTGTTATTGAACCTTGATGTTAGGCCAAAATGCTATACTTTTAGCACATTACTCGCCCTATATTTTGTTAGTTTAGTGAGTTATTGTACGACAATTGCGCTAAACTGTGTTGTTTTATGTGTAGGAACATCGGAATGAATCATCAAATGAAAGTTGCACAAAACGTGGACAAAAAACGCAAGAAAAGAGCCAAAAGCATTAAGTATCCAAACCGTGCCACAGACCAGGCTTTGCGAGGTCTATAGCCAGGTTGAACGTGCCACAGACCAGGCTTCGCGAGGTCTATAGCCCGGTCGATCGCGCGTCTATAGCTAGGTCAACTGTACTACAGACCAGGCTTTGCGAGGTCTATAGCACGGTAATTAAAAGTCGCGGGTTAAAAGACCCAAACCCGAATTTGGACCGGGGGATTGACGTAAATACTCCCCAAACGAGTTATTCTAGGGTTGGACATGATTTTGGAGAAGAAAAAGGCTGCCAAGCACTGTGGAGCAAGAATCAAACGAGTTTTTCCTTCCTTTATCTCTTTACTTTGTAGTTTCATGTTTTTAAACATTATGTTGATTGTTGTTGTATTTATGAGTAGCTAAACTCTTTAATCTAAGGTTTGATGGAACCTATTTCTCTACTGCGTTTAATATAGATTTGCCTTTGATTTTTCTCTACTTGTTCAACTATATTTTCATTTTTGTTAATTGAAGAGCTCTCAATTAACTGTGCCTATTTAGTGTGTATATTGCTCGAGAGAGAGTGCACATTTAAGTAGTTGTTGAACAACACCATGCCTAACATAGTTGAGAAATCGATATGGAGGGTTTAGAGGCGGGATTAGAGATAACGAAGCCTTGGTGCGATCGTCGTGAGCGATAAATTAGTGCCAGCTAGCGTAGTTGGAGAGAATACATCTAGTAAATTGTAGTAGTCACTCAAGAGAGAGCTATGACACTTAAAGTACTCACGATCGGTAGAAAATATTTAGGCGAATTTATAGGAAACATAGCGGGGAAGATTCCGACAATAGGGAAAATCATAACCTTAGACTCTTCCAAATCTTGTCTACGATATTTGCTTTGTTAGTTATAAATTACTGCATTTTTATTTACTTTGATCTTAGTTAGTAAACTCTCAAATTGTTATATAATATTTCTGAAGGTTGATTACTTGAATTAGTGTAAAACTATTAGTTGTAATTAGCACGTTATTTTTCTGGGGGATTCGACTCCGGATTTGTAAACCGGATTATATTTGTAACGACCGCTAGACCTCTTAGGAGGCATAGTTGGACGTGGTCAAATTTTGGCGTCGTTGCCGGGGAAAGCAACAGTGTTACTAATTATAGCTATAAGAATTGTTAGGATTCTTAGTTTAGTCAATTTTCTCCATTTTTATTCATTACATTGAAATTCTAACATTTGTGGTCTTGTGTGTTATAGGTGTATGCCTAGAAACTCTTCAAGAACTGGTGAATTGTTTGAAGCATTACCGGATCCTGAGAAAACTTTCAAGGCATTAAATCGTGCAAATAAGAAGGACAAACAACAGCATCACCCAAGAGAACAAATTGAGCCGGACATGAGTGACACTTTGGATAATCAAAACAATCGAAATAATGTGCATGACCGGAACAATCAGGGTGTGGCACCTCTTGTGCCAGAAGCAGCTTTGTATGATTGGGCACAACCCACCGCTAAAAATTTGGCAACTGCAATTGCAGTCCCTCAGATACAAGCAGAGTCATTTCAAATCACAAACAACATGCTACATTTGTTGCAAAAAGAAGGGACTGTTCTCCGGGTCTTACATTAAAGACAACAACATCTGAAAAATTTTCTGTCAATTTGTGTCACGCAAAGGCAACCGAATGTGACACCGGAAGCAATAAGACTGTTGTTGTTTCCATTCTCAGTGACAGGAGAAGCCCAGACTTGGCTTAATTCGCTCCCCATAAATTCCATCACCACTTGGGAGGAATTAGTCAAGCAGTTTTTGAATAAGTTTTACCCACCCAATAAGACCGCCAAGCAGGTTATTGAGATATTGAGCTTCAAGTAGAAACCAACTGAAACATTACAAGAAACGTGGGAGAGATTCAAAGGTATGTTAGTTAAGTATCCACATCATGGCATTCCAGATCAGATGTTGGGACAACGGTTTTACATGGGATTGGCGGACAACTTGAAGGCCAATGTTGATGCTTCAGCAGGTGGAGCATTTTTAAGCAAGTCATTTAAAGAGTGTAAGGTCCTTCTAGATAAAATGGCTCAAAACTCGGAATGGATGACAAGAGACTCCACAATCACCCCTATAGTTCACTCAGTAGCATTGGACCCGAACAATTCCATAGCCGAGAATATGGCCACTTTGATGACGCAAATGAGTATCCTCACCAAGAAGATTGATGAATCAGGCCAGAAGCAGGTACACATAGTTGACACGACTAATGTGGGATTATGTACACCATGTATTTACCAACCATACGTGTGTTCGTGGAGTAGTGTATGTGACAACCAGAACTATCAAGAGAACATGAACTATGTGGGAAACTATGGAGGCCAGAGGCAAGGTGGTAAGAATTGGGGGTAGCAAAATCAGCAGTATAGACCAGCACAACAACAGTGCAATAACACCAACAATTCTGGAGCTATGCGACCACAGGGTCAAGTAGTACCTTACCAAAGACAACAAGGATATAACCAGCAAAATCAACAGCTAACTTATCAACAACCTCAACAACAAATAGTGAGACAAGATGATGGGCTATCTGAAATTAAGAGAATACTGCAACAACTGATTGGATCCAATGGAAAAATGCAAGAGAAGGTTGAAGAACATGAATCAGTGATAAAAGGCATTGAGATTCAATTAGGACAGATATTTATGGCTCTAAATAACCACCCCAAGGGACTTTACCTGCGGACACACATATCAATCCAAAAGAGCAGGTACCGAAATAGCTTATGGCAGTGAGTTTGAGAAATGGTAGAGATATTGATTTAGAGCAAGAAATCGCTCATGAGAGCCGACCGACTGAAACACTTGTTTCAGTGCCAATTGAGGTAGATGAGTCAATTGAGCTAACAAGAGTAAGAGTGCAGCCAGCCTAGGAGGAAATAAACAAGGAAAAAGAGGTTACGAAAGAGACTGAGAAAGTGCAAGAAAAGGCATTAGAAAAAGTGCCTGAGCAGGATCTAACTCAAGCCATAGAAAAGAAGCGACCTCCAACACCTTTCCCGCAGAGGTTGGCCAAATATCAGAAGGATCAACAGTACAAAAGATTCATGGAAATGCTGAAGCAAATTCAGGTAAACATTCCTCTAATTGATGCCTTGAGGGACATGCCGGTTATGAAAAAATATTGAAGGACTTTATGTCTCGTTAGTTCGACTTCCAAGACTTGGCAACGGTCACATTGACACAGACCTGTAGTGTTGTTGTGTCAAGACATATAGCTGAGAAGTTATCCGACCCTGGAAGCTTCACAATTCCATGCACCATAGGTATCTATGAATTTTCCAAGGCATTATGTGATTTGGGAGCAAGTATAAATCTGATGCCATCATCTATCTATAAAAAGTTAGGCATTGGAAGAGCAAGACCTATATCCATGTTACTACAACTAGCTGATCGAACGGTAAAAATGTTACGCCTTGTGCGTCCCAAGGTGACGTAATGAATATGAGACTTGTTAATCATGATTTAAATGATTTTAAAGTCATAATATGGCTATATATGATGTTTGGATAGAAAATATGAAGTTTGGGAAAAATCGGATTAAAGTTGCGAAAAAACTGACTAAGGATTTTTCTTGTAACAGAGCTTTTTTAGAAATACATTTCATATGCTATATGAGGTCTTTTTAAGACATATTATATGCCAAATTGAAGGTCTCGCAATTTAGTTTCCAACTCTCTTAACCGTTCATTCATACAACACCCGGATAAAAAGTTATAAGCGTTGGAAGAAGGGCCAATCATAGGGTGCCAAGTAGTACCTTTTTGACTTTTTTAAAAAATGGGATATTTACATCCCATCTCGTCTCTTTCTCCATTTTTCTAGAGAACACACCCAAATAACACCCCTAACTTTACTCTTAAGCTCTCTTCAAGAGCTTCAAACAAGATTATCATCCCGGGCACGGAATCAAGAAGCGTTAACATTAAAACGATCTCTATGACGCAAGTATCGCTATATCGCCTCTTTTTATTTGTAGTTTGAGTTTTGGAAGGTACTTCATAGTTAAGAAAACGTGTACTTTCTATATTTAAGTGTTTTAATATCAAGGAATATTGATAAATTTGTTTCCTAATAGTTAGAACTCACGGGACGGTGATCGGAAGCTGTGGGTTCGAGTTATTTGACTTGTAGTGGACTGTTTTGTGGGCTATTTCATGTTGCCTTTGGGCTGTATATTTTTTTTACTTTTTAATGGAGTTTTGGAGTACAAATGGTGTGGAGAAACACCACATAATAACGGAATAGTGGGCTGGTCGTTCGTCGTTACATCTGTTTAGGTTGTTTGACACTACTTTGGTTATCGTTTTATGTATGATGTGATTAGGGTATGTGGGCTGTTTTGTGGTATATTGTGATGGAGATAAGATTGGAAAATGATACTTACATGTTATTATTGTTGTTGGTATATGGTATTGGGGGAGGGCCTAGTTACAGGGGAGAGATGCTGCCCAAATTTACGTAAACAAACTACTAGTTTAAGTTGCGAACTTAGCCTTTACACATGTCACGACCCAAAACTAACCCTGTCGTGATGGCGCCTATCGTGGAACTAGGCAAGCCGACTCATTTTCAAAACAAAATGATATTTTCATTTCAAAGATAATTTCAAGGTAAAAACCTCCATTTAAAGAGTTCAAATCAAATAAAAACAGAAGTGCGGAAAAGAAAAGCCCGACATCGGGGTGTCACTAGTCATGAACATCTACTATAATCTGTCTAACAATATCAAGGCTAACTTAGCCTGGAAAATAGCTAAATACAACTAGAGGAAGATAAGAGGGAGAAGAGCAGGGGCTGCGATCGCNTTAGTAGTGACGAGCACTAAAGCATGTAACGTTCATATCAGGAAATCTCACCAAAATACCACATGCTCTTAAAAATCAGGATTTGAATCAAANGCCACAACTTCACAGTCTACCACCATGAAACAATCTGCTCATGAGAACTCCCAATCTTCAATTCCATAGAATACATGAATCACCCTATTTGATTTCACCTCCATCGCCTGGATGCCTAATACCTCTCTCATACACAATCCTCCCACGAGAAATACTTTGAAACTTCTTCCGTGCCACCTAGTCATCGGAAACCATTCATGCTGCCTAAGAATTTATGTCCTTCCCTTCAAAACTGAACTGTGACCTGGTACATGTAAATCCTATTCCCGCACAACACACCACATCTGTTATGCCACCATATGACAAGCATAAGAATTCCATTATTAACTCTGAGTCACTAGCAAATTACATACATTATTAGTCAGAAACCTCTTTCTTGCTTCTTTCTAGGAGAAAATCATAACACACAACATGCTCCGTACATCGGTAGAAGATATCTGGTTCAAACCATGGTAGAACCCATCATGAACAC